ATCGTATCCTGCGTAATAGCATAATAATCCCTAATCGCATCTGATCTGTTCACCTGGCTGGCGCACAAACACACTCTCCTCTCCGCTCTCTCCTCTCTGCCCTGCGCCGGCTGCACACAATCCGCATTCTGGCTGCCATCGAGCGATCCTTTGTGCGAGTCCTTTGTCGCCGAGTGTCCTTTTTTGTTCCCACTGTACTGTAAAGCAGGGCTGGGGTTATTTTGACAGAAGTTCATTTGCCTTCTGCCTATGCCACCGCTGCTGTCGCCTCACCTCTCCTCTCGCTTTGACATTTGTCAGAGTCGCATTCGCGGCTTCGAATTCGGGTTTCGGTTTCGACTTGGATCCGCATCGTGTGTTTATTTTTTCCCCTCCTCCTCCTCCCCCTCCTCCTCCTGCTCCTGTGAGTGGCTCGGTTTCAATGTTTCGACTTTTATTCGGCTTCCATTTGGTGCATTTGTTTAACGCTCCTTTGTGGCACAGTGCTTGACTAATAGACATTTACATTTCGGGACATTAACTGCTCTTTAGTCGGACAAGCCATTAATATCTTCTGGGTTGTCTGATTGCGGCGAATGAATAATGAGAGAAATGATTATCGAATGGGTTTTTGGGTTTTGTAATGAATTACTGTTAAATGTTGCTGGAATGGGTATATAAGGACATTTATTTATAGGGAATCCTTAAGATAGAGTCACGATTAATGTTATTTAACCTTTTCCAATCTGGTTCTTTGAAGGTCCGTAAAAAAAACGCCTGCCAACCTATCGTAACTCTGCATATAGATCTCCTAACCCTTCGAAAGGGATCTTAATCGAGTGCTTTGAAGTTCTGTACCTTAAGCCAAGAGATATACCACAAAAAACTCCTACCAATCTATCGTAACTCGGCTCATAGGTATCCTATCGTTTCGAAATGGATCTTAAATGAAAGCAAAATTCCTTTTTACAAGTCCTATACTAATTTGATCAAGAAATGTCAGGGAATGAGGGTTTGCCAACTGTTGTAACTCAGTTTCTAGGCATCCCATTCATTAAAAATGTATCGCAAATATAAGGAAATCTCATATAATCTCATTATATTTTGATTTCATTGACAATTACTCATCCACTTTTCAGCCATATCAGTGTTTATCCACTTATGCCGTATTTATGACGAAAGGCCTTGTTTCCATTGTGTGGTACTACTGTACCGAAACACGCATCGTAGAGCCTTCAATTACATATGCCACATGGGTGGCTTCAGTTCTGAGGCCAGTGCTGACATTACGCATACCAATTCGATGATCACTGAGCGAGGCGGCTGGCTTTTGTCCCGTCCCCCAAAAGGCGTACAACCCTTGGCCGAACAGAGGAAAAAATCATTTCTGTTTCAGTTCCCATTCCCACGCAATTCCGTTTATTGTTTTAGCTAGAGGGAGGGAGAGAGAGAGAGAGAGAGAGAGAGAGCGAGAGGAGGCAGAAAATAAACAAAAGCTCAGCGATCATCGACGCCTCAATGAATTTAGTCGTATGTTTTTTTTTCGCAATGGAATTAGTATTCAGTTACCATACGTCCCATACAGAACGAACGAAAAAACAGCAACAGCAAAAAAAAAAAGAAAAACCAGGGACATGGACAGGGGCCGGATGCGGCTACAGTAAAGGCCGATGAATGGAGGCAATCCAATCTGCAATCATCATCTCTCTCTCTCTCTGCATCTGTAGCCATATGCAAAATATGTTTAAAAATAAACTAGCGAAAGGCAAACGGTTCCGAATTCCGTTGCGAATTCATTAATGGGAATGTCACCAGCAGGCCAGAGACGGCTCCAAGGAGAGGGACAGCGAGAGAGATTGACAGGGCACAGAGCACCCCTTTAATGGCTGCCTAACTAGATATGTCTTCAGCGTGGATCGGCAGACCCCCCCCCCCCCCCCCCCGCCCCCTCCCCCTCCGATTGGGAGGGGGATGAGTGACGGGTATTGGATTTCAGCATGCCATGCACGCGGCGCGGCATGCGGCTGCATATCTGCAACGCCATCTCTCGACTACCTCGGGGCTACTCCCCACCCGTCTCCAGCGCTGATTGACATGTGATCCTCATCCCCATCCCCATGCCCATCCCCATGCCATTCCCATCACCATCTCCATTCTCAACCTCATTGCATCCTCTCAACAAAGTTTCTATGGCTTGCAAATCTTCACCTTGTCCCCTGTCCACTGTTCCCTTTTTGTGCACCCTTCAAGAGGGTATCCACATCAGTATTTGCTATAGGTTTTCGATCAGTTTTGTTCCATCTTTCATATGCAACACCATTGTGCTAGGGTATCTAGAGCTTCGGTGCTCTGAGCTGGCTCTTCTGTCTGGTTTTTTCCTGGCTCTTTAACCTGTTGCTGGTTCTTCTTGGTCGTCGCTGCTCATTTGTCATTCAGGCGAAACACTCACGAGTCGTAAAGTAAGCTCCGTTCCAGTCTCCTGCCAAGAACCGAGACCCATCCAAGGGAAATAATCTCAGAAAAGTCATAAAATTATGATCGGTATTTCTTTCTTGTTTTTTTTTCTTTTTGCGCGCCCTGCGCTCTCTGGGAAATTTGAACTGTGGTGGTTTTTTGCCAGCATTTTTTAATTATATTTTGGTTACGGAACATGGATTTCTGTTGTATTTCATGCAACACCTTGTCCCCACAAAATTCCTGAGAATTACGCGAAGACATTCCTGAAGACGGCCCGCTTCCATGGAAATCCGCCAATGGACCCGCAAGAAAAAACCTTTCCACAGAGACCACAATAATAAACAGAAACTTAAGAGTTCATTCATGTTTCCCCAAACCAAACCAATCCGATCCAATCCATCCCCACCCCACCCCACCACACATGCTGCAAAGCCCAAGGCAGTCCCAGACCCAGACGATAGCCCAGAGACGTGTCATTTTTCACAAACAACGAACGCCTCAATGAAAATTTCCACTATTTCCTCAATGGTCTGGTTGTAATACGATCGTGATCTCTTGCCCAGAAACCCCGCAACGACGGCGGGAGAAAAGTCAGGGCAGGGCAGGGCAGGGCGCCGTCGCACACACTGAAGCACTTGAGAGTGTTCAAGATATCATAAACCAAAATTAAGATAAGCCCCCGGAGAAAGATAACGCAAAAGTCGGGCTACGGCCACTCTTTGGAGTGTATCTAAGATGTACTGTACTTTCACTCTACGGACCATTTTGCTTGCCAAAATCCATATTCTGGATAGTACAAACAATAGTTCCCGAGATGCCGGTGTGTGGAGACTCTGTGTTCGATGCTGATAAAGAATACCACAGAGTTAAGGTTTTATTTAATCTGTTTTAAGATAAACTTCTCCAAAAACCTCACTCAAGCCATTTCCTGGTAAATGCAATTTGGCAATAAATAAATGATATATTCATAAACTAATTAATCAATCTCTCGTTTTACCAAACACTCCCCTAGAGTGTTTTCGTGTTGATTTTGGAAAACCTTTGCCCACAGAAACCGCTTTTCATTCATTTTCATACTCATTCACAAAAAAACAGGAGAAAAGCAAACAAGATGACAGAGAAAGAGAAGAAACACACGAAAACTGAGAGAGAGAGAGAGAGAGAGCGCGCGAGTTCGTATTTTGACGAGCTAGAGAGTAACCAATCCAGCCCTGGTTTTCTCTCTCGCATCCACTTTTTCTCGCTCAAAAATGCTCGATTTTTTCGCTTTTAAACCAATGAAAATAAACAAAACATTTTAAACCAATCAAAAGCAAGGAAACAGGGGAGAGAACTAAGTGATTTTGTCCGTGTAGAGTTTGTGGATGGTAGTGTAGAGCGTGGATTGAAGCTGGGTTCCACACTGCTGAGACTTTTGTGGACTGTGGTGAGTGGAAGCTGAAACGCAGGGGAAGCTTGAAAAGAAGTAGCTGAAACTGGATCTTTCTTGTGGAAGACGAGGTGGTCGGCCAGTGGATTTTGTGGAAACAACTTTTAAGCTGTGGAGAGGTACAACATTTAAGCTGTGGATGGGATGTTGACTTGTGAGCTGTGGATGGGATGTTGACTTGTGAGCTGTGGATGGGATGTTGACTTCTGAGCTGTGGATGGGATCTTTTGAGTGGATGCTGGGGTAAATACGGTTTTTGTGGAATGGATGCTATTAGAGATATTACTGTTTTCCTTGTATATTCTAAAGAACTTCAATTTCACAGAATATACCATACCATATTACCCTATATTCAAATAAATAAAAATATCCTCCTTAAGTGTAGAAGAAATGGAATTTCACGGTATCTCCACTGTTCCACAAAACCTTCTCACCGCAAACCACGGCAGGAACTTCTTTTGTAGACCTCCATCCACCAAACTATAATACTCTCCGCACGACATCACTCTACAAACCCTTTGAATCTACACTCTTCCTTCTCCTCCAGACTAAATATCATCTTCCACCATTTATTTATATAGAATCCAATAATCTCTCACAATATTACCCCTCCTAAGCTCTCCACGGCTAATGAAAACAGTTCTCTCTCTCTCACAAACCCGAAGTACACCCGAAGTCTCCCGAAGTCAGCCGAAGCTCATATTGAAACGCAAAATTTAGCTCTCCCCTCTCTTTTTCTCTCTTTTTCGACACAGTGACTGAACATGCAAAGGTATGGACCACAGTCAAAAAATGTTCAGCAACATTTCTAGAACCCACTCACCAAACCTCAGTCAACAATATGCTCTGATTGTTTACAAGCCCTGTAAACAATCATGGCATGTTCATTTTTGGGGTGGATTTTACGTTGCATGCGCTGGATATTTTCGGGCCGCTTCGCCCGTGTTCCATACCTTTTCTTAGCATGCCAGCAACATTTTTTCCAGCAACATGTGCTCGTCCGACCAGCAACATGGCGGGCGTTTTTGATAGAAAAGGCCTTGCCGCCCCACGGCAAGTTCATTCGTTCAAAAAATTTTCACCGCTCAAGTGAAGCAAAGAATCACAGAAAACAGTAAAAGAGCAGCGAAATTGACTTGTGATTTTGAAAACTCAAATTGATTTTGATAAGTCATACAACTACTAGGCACGCTGGATTAAAGTGTTTTTTTTCTGTTGGCCGTTCGAAAAGTGCAAAGGAAAGAAAAGTGAAGTTCGTGCAAAATACCAAAAAAAAACACGCAACAAAACTCGCAAAACAACCAAAAACGCATCTCAATCCCAACTTATCCAACCTCGCCCGTAACCCGTAACCGGTACGACCGTGTAAAATCCGCCAAAATTCTACTCAAGGAGCGTAAAGCCATCATCTCCAAAATGAAGTCCCTGACGGCCGTCTGCCAAACAGGTGCCTCCGGCATGCCGGGCATCAGCCCCAATGGACGCATTGCGCGGCACCCACCTCACCGCGGCGACGGCGAGAACGCCGAGATGAAGATGTATCTCTCCAAGCTGAAGGATCTGGTGCCATTCATGCCCAAGAACCGCAAGCTCTCCAAGCTGGAGATCATCCAGCACGTGATCGACTATATCTGCGACCTCCAAACGGAGCTGGAGACGCATCCCGAGATGAACAACTTCGATGCGGCGGCTGCGCTGACCGCCGCAGCAAACATGGAAGATGACAGCGAGGATGAGATGCACCACATGGAGGACGACGAGGCCGATTTGGAGGCCGATGCCGATGATCTGCTCTCCCAGCGTCTGGCCGCCGAGCAGCAGCTGGCCAAAATCTCTAGTCCCGCCGCCCGTCTCCCGCTCAGCGATCGCCAGAGCCCCAACACGCTTCTGGCGCCGGGTCAGCAGCAGCAGCAGCAGATACAACAGCAGCAGCAGCAACTCTCCAACAGTTTAGCAACGGTAAGAATGAGTTTTATGCATAGTATGACATGTGTGGGGCGAGTGCAGAATTGAGTGATTCGTTTGAGTGACCTCATTCATCAGGAAATTGTCAATTGTCAATTGTCATGCGTGTCTGTCTCTGTCCCTGCCTCTGTTTTTGTGCGTGGAAGGACAAGCCGAAAAATTTACATTTGCCTGAGCGACATTTCTTTAATGTTAATTCCAAGGCGACGGGAACTTCATCCAAATTCCATGCACTGAAAGAAACCGATGTTGCATCAACGCAACTGGGGAATCTTTCGAAAATTGGGATATTTTCAAAGTCTGTGTGTGAATGATTGAGTTTTTTCCCATGTAGGCATTTCACACGAGTGTTTTTTTTTTTGCTCTCTCTCTCAGTGTGTTTCTGCGGCTGTTGTTGTGTCGCCATCCTCCGTTTCTTTCTTTTGTGTTGCCTATACGTAGCTGTTAATTTTTTTCTTTCTCGCGGCCTTTTTTCCTCTGTTTGTTGTTTGTGTGATGTGTTTTAAATGAACACCTGCAGATACTTAAATTTATTTCACATACTCATGCATATATGTATATATACATATATATATGTGTGCGTGTGTGTGTGTGCATATGTACTCTCTCATACATACGCACAGGCCAGCTTGAAAACGGAATTTGAAATTGGGGGAATCATCTGTCTCTGTCTCTGTCTTCGTCTCCACCTTGATATTACTGTTGTTGCTTTTTCTTACTTCATTAGCGCTCTTTTTTGGCCGTCTGCCTTTGTTTCTCTTCTTCGCTTTGTTGTTATTAATGATGCTGGCAAAAAATTTGTTAAAAAACCTACGAAACAGGTTGAATATACAACGATTTTAGCTTGATAAAGAAAAACAAAACAAAAACCAAAACCAAAAACCCAATACTTTTTCAATGAAATTTTAACAAATGTTCGCCAGATCGAAGCTGCCTTTCGGGTGGCCCCAAAAAGTTGTTAACTTTTGATTAATTATCCATTGAAAATTATGATTTCCAAGATCTCTCCAAAGGCGGCCTTTGCGGTGGTCTCTGTCGTTCCTTCTCTCTCTCTCTCTCTCTCTCTCACTCCGTTTCTCCCATTGAGTATCGAGTGCGTAAGACGGCTGATTTCTTGCAAAAAAAAACATCTGCATCTTGCGACAGTGACGGTGGGGCGGCGGGACCCAACCTAAACGCCCCACATACAAAGCGTTTGATGTGTCACCATCCAAACAAAACCAACAACAACTACGAAAATTCTTTCGAAAACACGCACACACCAACACACACACGCACACACACACACACACACACGTACAGACAGAGCCTCAAGAGAACTGTAAAAAGAAATGCACGTGTTCAAAATGTTCTCTCTCTGTGGGCTGCTGCTGTGGTTGTTGTTGTTGCGGTTGTTGTTGTTCTTGCTGTTTCTTTTTTTGTACGTTTTCGCGCCGCGCAGCTGTGCGCCAGACGCCGCCATTCGGTCCGTCGCTTTCTACATTGTGGTGCCCACCCCCCTCCCTCCCGTCGAGTGATCCTGCCTTTGCCCTCACTCACCCAGTGCTGCGGTCAATCCAACAACAGTAACAAGGAGAACAGTAGAACGGTAAAGGAGGAAAGGAGGATAGGAGGATAGAGAGACACAAACAAGCATGTGTGACAGCTCCGTTTGATGTTCTTGGCGCCTCTTCAGTTCCCTCCTCTCCACCCCCTAGGCATCGCCTGTCTGTCTGTCCGCCCCTCACATCGACAGATCAATTGATGATAAGCGAGAGAGAGAGCGAGCGAGAGCGAGAGAGCACGCAGATCTACAGTGGGTTGAACAAAAACATCAGTGGAATGGGGAAATCAATGATTAGTGGAATTAGGGGGCAATGAATAATGTGTGATTGGGAAATATTACTATTATAACAAATTATTATATTTAAATGATTGTAAATGGAAAACTAATTTGTGTTTCTTCCCCTCTCCATCTCCACCCTGTCATTGCAGCAAGCGAACGAAGCGGAGAAAGACAGCAGGCAGTCGTAAGCAGCAGGCTGACTGAGCAGCAGCCAAAGGGAGAAGAACCTATGGAACCTATAAACAATTATTAACTAAATGCATAATCAGTACCGATATACCGAGTGTAATTAGCGCCACAGTGCAAGTACAGTCAACGCCACTCGCAGCAACCTTCGTGTGAAGAGATCTCCACATATAACCAAGCACGCATCTAAGAATAACGTAAATGTAAACTCTCCAACAGCTGTCCTGCTCCCGCTCTCCCACGCAGTGGAACAGAGAGAGTGTGAGAGAGACGGGGGAGAGAGGGGGGGCAGAGCGGCTCAGGCATTTCACACACACATATAGCAGATAGAAAGGAAGAACGTAAGGGAAGAATATAACCACACACCTAGCATTAGGGCATTATAATTATAATTATTAATTAAACACTAACTATTAGCGGGACGATGACGAGAAGAATGGAAGAAAGAAAGAAAGAAAAAACTTGGCAAAGCTTTAAACAATTTAATTTTTTCCCCTCTTTAACCCTTGCTTGAAAAATTGATTGAACAATTTTTTATGTTTTCCTAATTTTAGTTTATTTTTTTTTTCCTTTGGCTTAAACAATACAAAAAAGAAAATGTTACTAATGCAAAGCAAACACAGAGATCAGCAATACAACTAAATAATATTAAATCGAGAAAGCAAACCTAAATAAATGAAATGCAAATGAATGCATTAAAATGGAACCAACAAAACGGGGCATAAAATTTAATTATAATTTCAATTAATGATTTTCCTATTAATTTTAAAACTAAAATCAAACGAATGATATAATTCTTCCTATTATTGATTAGCTTCAACAAGAAAAACAACAACAACAACCCACTCAGAACACACACACACACGAAACACACACACACACACATTCAGATTTCATTAATTTATATCAGATTTAGTGTTAATGTTGGGCGGACCAACACTAATTTTCACTCAAACACACGCAAACCTCATATTTTCAAACGTTTTCCTCCTTTTTTTTTGTTTATTGACTTAACGAATAATTGCATTATAATAATTACCGCATATATATATATATATATACTAAAATGAAAACCTATAAATATATATATATATAAATATAAATATATGTTCTGTGATCTGTAGCATACTTTGTACAAAGTGTTTTTTTAGCATAATTATGCGATTTTGAATTATGATTTATGATCCGAAAACGAAAACGAACTCAGACTCTGATTACATCTTTTTGTTGTTCTCATTTTTCGGTAAGCTCTATCATGATTGAAAGGCGAGAGAAAACCTTGGATCAAACGAATGCGAAAAAATATACATATATCTTAAAAAAGAATGATTAAAAACAAAAACAAAACACAAAAAACATCAAGAAAAACTACAATTTTTAGCTCTTAATAAATTGCAAAATGGAAAAAATTATTACAAATTGTTGAAATTTTCTTCACTGCGTCGCTCGGAGGGTGGGATGGGTTCTGTTCTGTTCTTTTCTGTTCTGTACTGTTCCAGAAACTACCTGGGAAAACTCTGGGGAAAAACCATTTCCCATGCAAACAAGTGCAACGAATGCCACAATGCCGGGGATGATAATGCCCCTGGGGCAGACTACGAGTCCAGAGCCCAGACGAACGAGTTTTCTCACGCAGCCTGACAAAGCGGACCAGATCGCGTGGGATCGTTAGAGGCAGGTAGCCCTAAGGGCCGCCAGTTGCCACACACCAGTTGCACGTGTGCGAATTACCGTTGAGAAACCGAGTTTTTCGGGCGACAGTTGACCGCTCGACCGATCGACCGATCTATTCCGGGTGTGGATTTGGTTTTTGGGTTTTGCCCGCAGCTGCATCCCACTACTCGGATCTTTCTCTCTCTCTCTCTCTGGATCCAGAGCTAGAGAGCCGCAGACCCAGAGATATCTGTGTGCCTATTAGCGTTAATGATTGCCGCTACAATGCAATGACCAATTGGCAATTGCAACTAGTCTCGGGTTGCCAGCCCCGGAGTCGCTCGGTGCCAGTCGCCCCATTCAAATGTCAATTCAGATTGGACCCCTGGCCACAGCAACAGAAAAGCTAAAGCTAAATAGCTATGGTCTGCTTTTCCGAGGCACAGCCTTGGATGCTCTGCAAAACTGGAGGGGGTGGGGAGAGAAAGGTCCTTCTGGGAAAATATTGAAAAAAAAGACATGGCCATTGAGGGATCCTTAAGGATTTAGAGGAATTCTAGAGATGGAGTAGCAGCTTTTTGATTGAAGAAAGTTCTTAAAAAAGTCCTAGATATAAATTTCAAATCTTAACAAAAAAAAGGATTTCTTTAAAGGATGGTAATGCCCCAAGTTTTCCCCGTTTTAATGAAAAACTAAAGTACCCCTTTTGAGGCAAGGGTGCTTATACGGTAACACAAAACGAAATCTCAAATTAAACCGAACAAAAAATTGAAAATTGAAAAGAAAAACTTGAGTGTTCCCATGCCATTGTCTATGGGGGTCCATGGGGGACACACACATATTGCGTTCACCGCCCGTTCTGGGGGCCAACGATCTCCGACTCGGACTCCGACTCGGACTCGGGGCACGACAATGGAATGCGCTAATTGTTTGCAGAGCTCCCAGATCGGGGAGAGTCGCCCGGATTCGACATAGCCAATGGCCAGGCCTGGCTGGCTGGCTGGCTGGCTGGCTGGCTGGCCCCACGCGCAATTAGCGCGCGCACCTTGGTCCCGTCCCGTTCCGCGCTCTCCGTTGGAGCCCCGCCCCGGCCGGCCCCCCTGCTCGGTTTTCACTCAAGCACTTTGTTGCTTTTTGGGTGCGGACTGCCTGCCTGGCTGGCTGGCTGGCTGGCTGCCGCTGGAGAGACGAGAAATCAGTGAAACTTGAATTACCATAAAAACTCGTGTAGCAGTCAACAGCTGCGCGGGCAAACTCCGTTGCGAGACTTCCAATGGCCGTGCCGGAAAATTTTGACATAATAATTGTCAAGCTGACATTTCCAACAACGCAGCTGACAGCTGAGCCCAGCCGAATGCCCAGCCGAAGCCGAATACGAGCGCCGACCCGAAGTGCAATTCCTCACAGATGCAGTCTCCACACTGCAAAAAATCATCGTTGCCAATTGATGAAGGATCAAACTAAAGCTTGATCTGAAAGTGGACAAGTATCGTTTGCATATATCCTTGGATATCCTTCGAAATATATCTGGAGATATGTAACTGAGTTTTGCTGTATTTATGGAAGTACCCATTATCTATCAATCTACCAAAAATCAGAGGATAGAAGGGTATAGGTGTCCTATATAGGTCCTCTTTCTGTGTGGGCTCTTTCTTTCAGTGTGCCTTAGTTTGAGCTCCACGGTAGAGTCTCCAAAATGAAAGCTAAGCCACAATCGACTCTGGCAATGCCGGCTCTTGGCGAGGGGTGCGCATAAAAATCGCATTTAATTGTGATTTTCACACGAAATACAATGCGCATGAGCAACTGGCGCCGCTGCTTGACAGAGGGGGGGGCTGGGGCAGGGGCAGGGGCAGGGGCAGGCGCTGCTGCAATACTTGATGGCAATTTGTGTAACTAGCGGTAAAGCGTAACTACTAAACAGTCCGCAACAACAACGGGGCAGTGGCGGGGAGGGCAGGGGGCAGGTGTGGGGTGCGGTGCTGCCACGGCGGCGGCGGTGGTGGCTTTTGGGAAACACCTGCAAAACGCAAAACGCACCTGTTTCGCTAAACAGCCGGCAAAGCAAAGCAAAGCCAAGCAAAGGCAAAAGCAAACGGCAGTGGCAGCGGCAGCGGAGCAACAAAAACTAAAACAAAGTCAGACACCAACGCCAGCAGAAAACAGCAGAAAAGCGGACACGGCTCAGCAACTTTCGTGGGTTTCCCGGGTCTCACAGCAGAGGAGGGGAGAGGCGAGTGGGTTCCTATGGGGAACCGCATGACTTTTGTGTAATTGAAGCAGCCAGCTGGCTGGTGGGAGGGGAGGGGTGTGAGGGGGGGGTGGCATGGTTGGGCGAGAGTATGCCCCATGCGAATTAGGAAATCGAAACCAAGCCGAAGTCAAAGTCGGCGTAAAAAGTAAGGGGAAGAAGTGGAAACCAGGTGAAGTCAGACTACACTGACAGAAAAACCAAGAGAGAGGAAGAGATAGGCTAAGGAGGAGGTTTTGGGTTCCCCCTACAATTCCCATATATTATTTAGTATCAAATGTTATGCGATGTTTCCATAGCGATACGATCTTACGGATCGACGGAGTATCTTTTCAGGGCATCGCGCGTAATGCGGCAGAGCTCCTCGGTGGGTTCTACAGCCTTGCGTGAGTATAAATATCCCTTTTTCAACTTTCCATAATCCCTCGCTAGCATCGGGTGCGAGTTTTTTCCAGTGCACCAGAGCAAAGCAAGGGGTTTGAGTCAGGTGGTTAAATCGGAAGCGCATAGAAAGACCAGCTAGATGGTGGGATTGTCGGATTGTGGGACTGGGGGACCTGGGAGGCCACATCAGCTGGCGGAAGTCACTCAGCAGCTGCCAGAGTCCGAATGGGAGTTGGGACTGGTGCTGGTGCTGGGGCTGGTGCTGGGGTCCCCATCCAGCATTGATTTCAGCTGCGTCACGTCACCCGCCCATTGCGGCCCTGTCACGGCGGAGGGGAGTGTTGATCAAAAGGTGCAAAAGGCGGCTGCAATACCCATACCCTGGCCATATGTTGGCCTAATGACAGCTCCAGCTTCAGCTCCAGCTACAGCTCCACCTTTGGGCCAAACAATGGCGATGACAATGGCCAAGCCGAGGTGCGGCTGCAGTTGCATTTTCAGTTGTTGCTCCTGACATTTGATCGAAAGCCAATCGCTGCCGCAGAAGCCGACGGTGGGTCATAAGTCCCAGGCAGCCCCAGGGGCCAGCCAGTCCCCCAGTCCCCCCCAAACCAGTGCCTCGATGCTTCGACGGATGACGAGCTCCCTTCCATCAGATCCAGTGGAGTGTCAAACTGTAAATTGAATAGAATTATGCATAATTCCTTATCGCGAATTGAATTGTTGTGGCCTTTGGGGCTGGCCAGCGGCGCTGACTAATGCCACCAGAGTTGTTGGCCACTGCCCCAGCGACCACCAGGCAGCAGCTGTCCAAAAAGAACCGAAAACTACCATCAATCTTTGGTTAAAGAATGTATAAGTACCCTACAAGATGGAGGTTTTAGGAAGGTTTGGAGTATATCAAGTCTAGGGCTTCAGCAAGAAGACATCCTCAGGGATCTTTCGGATCACAGATCCATAGATCATTCAGTGCCGATCATGACTTAGGAATCAAAATGTTGATGATCTTCGATGGAGACAGTATTTTTCTGCTGCTACAATGCCTATACAACCCTCTGGGAAGGGTATTAAAGCCGACGTTGATAAATACCATCCCACGCCATGGCTGGCCCACTGGCCGCTCCTGCTTCGACTGCCTCTACTGCCTCTACTGCTGGTTACTTCATTCATTTTCATTTCATTTCGTTTTGCTAATTGATTCATTGATCTTGGCGATATCTCTCCCCAGTGACCAGAGCTAAGCTCCTGCGACCCCACTCTCCCCCCCAGCCCACTGCTGCTGCTGCTGCTGGGGAGCTCGTAACATAATTCTTTTTCCAGAGCCAAAGCCAGGGTCCGGCCGTGCGGCAGTCCGGCCGTGCGGCATTCATTTGCACGCCTGTCCACTTGGCCGTCAATTGTGCACAAAGACATTATTAGCCGTCTAGGAATTCAATTCAAATTTCCATTGTCGGCCCGGCCAACTGGCCAACTGGCTTTTCGCTTTTTTTGTCTGGTTTTCTCTGGTTCGAGGGGGCTTGGCCGTGGTCCGTCGTGGTCCTCTGGTTTTCGTTGCTGTTTGTAGCTGCAATTTGTTAAATTGACAAAAACTTTTTTGCGATAAACTTGGCGCGTTATTAAATTCAATAAATTTTCGCGCTCTCCGTCGCCGGTTTTATCTCCGTTCGCGATCAGCAAATACAAATTCTATTTAAGATACCAACAAAAAAAAAGGAAACCTTGCGATCGATTTGGTCATGGGGGGGTTAATGGCTTGCCAGCCCCCTTGGGTGCCGATACCATTCGATTCTTATCCCGTCCGATATTCGTTTCGATTCTTATCTGTCAACGGGGAAACGCGAATTAAATTTGCAATCAATGAAACCCAGCCAGGCTGTCACAAATGCCACAAAGCTCTTCCTATTCCGAAAAGCGACTCAAAGGTTTTTGCCGCCAACTCGAGCTCCAGCTCCAAGACGGCTTTGGTCTCCAACTTCCGTCGCACATTTGCCATTTGTCATGGCATGTCAGAGAGTCCGGAGAGCCCGGAGAGCCACGGAGAGCCACGGAGAGTAGCGTACGAGAGGCCCCAAAGATGCCCAAAAATGGCAAACGAAGGAACCAAACCGAACCGACTTCGCA